GGAGTCTCAGAATGAGGAGAGGGAAAGACTGAAACCCCAGGTGCCAGTCGGAGTGGGCCCTTACCTTAAGCCTTGTTAGACCACCCTGAACGGGACAATGATGGGTCCGTGACAAACAGGGGCACACCTTGACCAGGATTTCTTAGTTATGCATAATTCTTGACCTCTATTTAGACATAAATTTCAGAAACTGGAGAGATGGCTCAGTGGTTAAGAGCACTGGTTGCTCTTGAAGAGAACTTGGGGACCATTGCCAGCACCCACAAGGCAGCTCACAGCCATTTCTAACTCTGGTCCTAGAGGATCTGATGCCCTCTTCTGGCCTCTGCGAGAACTGCATGCATGTGGTGCACAGAGGTACAGGCAGGCAGGAGGACACCATTTCACATAACAGAAAAATAATTAAAACAAAAAAAAATTAAAATGTCCCTGAAAGTGGACCTTGGGGTCCCTGGACCTCTTCATTTGTTCCTCTTCCCAATGTGGCCGTACCGGATAACTCCCTTTTCTGCTTTTCACGATTATCTAATTAGCTAATGCATCTCGTTAACTGGTATTTGAGGCTGGGTCACTTATCAGGGCTTCTTTAATCCTAAAAATCCCAGTAACCGTGATTTGGGTATGTTGGGAACGGTCCACGGCATGTCCTATGATTTATGTTTTCTGGCCTCTTTTAGGGTCATCTCATGGAAGTAAACATCAGCGCCCCCTAGCTGCTTGCAAAGGAAACTCAGGCACAGACAGCTGTTGCTGTTTCAAGGAACCCTTACCTAAGTCTACACCGTGTTGCTCTGTACCAAGTGTGCAATGTGGAAACACTGGTGGCTGTGTGGTGTGGGGGGTGTGGGGGAGGGTGTGTTCGCGCGCGCGCGTGCAGCCGTGCCTTTGCCCTTGCATTATTAGGGAATGAACCCTGGGCTTCATGCCCGCCAGCTAAGTTACTGCTGAGCTATACACAGCCAGTCCTCTTCCTAGCTGGTATTAGCTGTAAGTTCAAGAAGCTAGCCTACTCTTTTTATTATTTTGAGACAGGGTCTCACTAAGTGGCCCAAGTTGTGGTCTTGATCTTACTCCGTAGCCCAGCCAGGCCTTAAACCGTGATCCTCCTGCCTCAGCCTTCTGAGTAGCTGAGATTACAAGTCTGTTTCACCAGACTGTCTGACCACTGGTTCTACGAGAAATACATTCCTACAGGATAAGACAGAATTTGTTTCATTTCATTGTATCTTCTTTGGGTTGAGGACGTCACTTAGGGATAGGGTGTTTGCCAAGCACGCCAAAGGACTCCGCACCAAAAGGAAAATAAAAATCAAAATAAGGGCTAGAGATGTCACTGCCCTAGACTCCATAAAGCTATCCTCAGCACCTGTCAAGCCATGTGTGACGGCATGCAGCCATAATGCCAGCACTCAGAAAGTAGAGGCGGGCAGAAGAGAAGATCAGGTCATCCTCTCCCAAGTAACCTGCTAACTAGTGAATTGGAAGTCAGCCTGGGCTACATGAGACCCTGCCATCCTTAAGTCCTATGTACATTTTTCTGATAACTTTAATTCTATTCTTTATCCACTTACATTACCTAACACACATAAATTTATTTTTTTTAGTATTGCCATTTCTATTTAAAAAAAACAAATAAATGCAGTCAGGCGGTAGTGGCGCATGCCTTTAATCCCAGGAGGCAGAGGCACGTGGATCTCTGTGAGTTCGAGGCCAGCCTGGTCTACAAGAGCTAGTTTCAGGACAGGCTCCAAAGCTACAGGGAAACCCTGTCTCGAATAAATAAATAAATAAATAAATAAATGCAACTTTGATTTTGAGCAGTGCATATAAATGTTTTCTAAGAAGGGCAGCAAGAGGGGATCTGTACAGGCGGAGGATGTGCTGGCCCCTGCCTGGGGGTTGGGGGCTGTCATCCTCCAGACCTTGACAGTCACTGTGACTGTCCTCAAACGTAGCAGAGGAAGCTGAAACAAAGATCATGCCCTTTTCGTGCATGCTCTTGAGAAGCGCTGATAACCCATCACGTGGGCTTCTTGGCACATACAGGAACTGGGTACCTCACATGGCTCACATGGCTGGGATTGTGCAAAGGAGAAAAAAAAAAGGAGAAGGAGGAAGCCTAGCGTCAAAAGCCAGCGCTGGAGCCAATTACAAGTGCCTGGCTTGGGGAAGGACATCACCAAATATTTGCTGAATAGCAGCTAAATGTTTATCTTAGATAAACACTTCGGGGTTTTATGATAAGCCTGGTGTGAGTTTTACAATTGTACTGGGCAAATATTTCTAAGAATTTTATAAATTAAGCATATTGGTTTCTACACAACACACAGAAGTGTCTTTTTTGCTGTCGGGTGGTAAATCTTCTGTAAGTCATGGAGCCAGGGAGATGGCTCCAGAGGTGCAGTGCTTGTCCTGCAAGCATCACGGCCTGCCTTTTGACCCCAGGATACACATGAAAAGGCCAGGCATGGAGGCCAAGGCTTGAACTACCAGAGGCAGAGACAGGCAGATCCCAGCCAGCCTAACTTATGAGGCAAGATCTAGGCTAGTAAGGGACCTCGTCAGAAAACACAGGATGGGCAGTCCCGAGGAACAACACAAGGTTAACATCTGGCCACCGCGTACTTGCATCCCCATATACGACTACACCCATTTGCACACACATACGTGCACAAACACATTTACAATCTTTTCTAAGTCACATATATACATATTCAAATGTACAAAATGCCCTTCGTTGTTCTCCTTTCTCTGAGGGTCTTACATTCAGGGCCTTGGCACCCTGGGCAAGCACTCCACCCATTGAGCTATGCCCCGATCTTCCCAGATTTCTTAATTGAGGGACAGAGAGGGTCCAAGGACAACCAAATTGAAACAACTAAATTTAGACATTGAGGCAGGTAAGGTGGAGGGGAAGATCGGGGACTGACATACAATGGGTTCTCGTCAAGAATGTTCTAGGCTAGGGGTCTCCTGTATAATTTGGGCAAGCGACTGAGCTCCCTAAACTGGAGACATCAAATCCTTTGAGTATTAGAATAGTCTCCTGGGCTGGGAGATGGCTCATCAGTAAAGAGCCTGCCATGATGACCTGAGTGCTACCTAGAACACATGTTAAAAGCCAGGCATGGGGTAGGAACCTGTATTCCCAGGCTCATTGACCAGTCTGACTAGCTGGGTTGACAAACTCAAGGCCAGTGAGTGCCTGTCTCAAAAAACAAAGTCTGGGGCTTGAGAGGGAGCTCAGAGGTTGAGAGCACCTGCTACACAATCATGACGATCAGACTTTGGATTCCTGCACCCACGTTACAGGCCAGGTATCCTGCAACCCCAGCTCTGATGGGAGGATATCTAGGCTTGCTGGAACCCCTGCCTAGAATCTCCCAGTGAGGGGCTGGGGTGTGGCTCAGTGGTAGAGCCCCTGCCTAGAATCCCCCAGTGAGGGGCTGGGGTGTGGCTCAGTGGTAGAGCCCCTGCCTAGAATCCCCCAGTGAGGGGCTGGAGTATGGCTCAGTGGTAGAGCACCTGCCTAGAATCCCCCAGTGAGGGGCTGTGGTGTGGCCATCAGTAGAATGTTTGCTCATCATATGTTAGGCCCTGGGTTGATCCAGGGTGCTGAAGGAGGTTTCTCTGTGTTTAATTTACAGTGGTAGCAGGAAACCAAGCAGAGCCTGAAGGGGCACAGTTGTGACCAATTACTGATTACTGAATTTAGTGACAAACATGGATCCTCTTTGTTTGGGGTAAGCAGACAAGGGACCAGTTCCCATGAGACAAATAATTCATGACTTTGGGTCCATAAGGATGTCAAGGACCCAATCTGAAAATTCACAGAAGATTCTTCATGGGTGGGTGTGACTAAAGATCCTGATGTCTTTCTCACAGCCATTTCTTAGATTGCAGAGCTAATCCCCAAAGTCAGGGGATCTGAGACGGTGCTGGCATGGGGCCTTAGCTTTGGGAAACAAGCAAGCTTGGGGAATCCTTGTGGGAGGGTCTTTGACAGGAGTAGATGCTGGGGCTCCGGTGGTGACTCAGCAGGAAAGAGCACTTAACTCTACAAGCATGAGGACCTGAGTTCAAATCCCCATATTCCCACATTAAGTCAGGCGTGTCACTGTGCATGCTTGTCACCAGGGTGCTGTGACGAGCAGAGACTGGAGGATCACTGTCATGGTCTGGATGAGACATCCTTCCTAGTGGGGGGGGGGGGGGCGTTTGAACCCTTGGTCCCTAGTGGTGGTGCTGTTGGGGACATGTGGCCTTGCTGAAGGAAACACATCCCTGGGGGCAGGCTATGAGGCTTCAAAGACTCAGTTTCCCAGTTTGCTCTACTTCCTTCTTGTGCTTTTGAGATGTGAGCTCGAGGCTGTTCCTATAGGATGCCATGGCTAGTGCCTACTACCACATCAGTGCCACGATGGATTCTCGTCCCTCTGGAACCAAAACCCCAAACAAACTCTTCCTTCTATAAGCTGCTTTGGCGGGGTTTTGTTGTTATTGTTGTTTTGTTTTGTTGTTCTTTTGAGACAGGGTTTTTCTGTGTAACAGACCTGGCTGTCCTGGAACTCACTCTGTAGACCAGGCTGGCCTCGAACTCACAGAGATTCACCTGCCTCTGCCTCCCGAGTGCTGGGATTAAAGGTGTGCGTGTCACCACCGCCACATGGTGTTTTAGCATAACAGTAGAAAAGTCACTAAGACAATCCCTGGCCTAGCTCCGGGTGAGAGACCCTGCCTCAAGAAAATGAGATGGAGAATGTTAGATTAGGTCACCCAAAGTCCTCTGGTCTCTGTAGCTGACACAGATACGTGTGCATACACTACACATATGTAACACACACACACACTGGAGGGGGTACCATAATAAAGGGACTGAGAAAAAAATACCTGTTTTTCCTGTCCCTTCTCACTCCCACCAAGTGTCTTCCCCAACCAGGCCTCCCGAGCCTCAGCCCAGGGCCTCACAGCCCAGGGCCTCACAGCCCAGGGCCTCGTACCTGCTTCCTGCACAGTGGTGCCCATGGCTAGTCCCCGTAAGATGCCCAGGAGTGGCCAGAGGAAGTCTGAGGTTGGGCCAGGAAAAGCCCCCTTACGTTCCAGCAGCTGACAGGCAGTGACCAACATGAAGGAATGACCCCAAAGGCCAGTGAGGCAGAGTCATATCATTGAGAATGCGGGGGAGGCAGGGAGGAACTGGGCAGGCTGGGCCTCGCAGGGGACAGAATGTGGCCTCACAATCCCGCTCTGTGCCAAGGTTCTTAGGTTCTGAGCTCGCTGCGGTGCGCAGGAGGTGACACCAGCTCAGATATTTCATCCCTCTGCCAAGAGATGTGATACCACCCATGATTCAGGCGGAGACTGTGGAGCCACCATGTGATAAGCTGCCACCATGCAGCAGAGACAGGGTCCAGTGTCAGCCTTTAGCCTGTGGCCCTGGAAAGGTCAGAGTGAAAGGTAAGAGCTGCAGCCTTATGCACAAGGAGGCAGAAATAGCCCTGAGGTTCCATGAACTGAATCAACAATACAACATTATATAACAATTTCATGAGGCCCAACAAGGTGGTGCGCACCGCCCAGTGCAGCACTCGGGAGGCAGGAGGAGAAAGATTTCAACCTTTAGAGAAGCTAAGGCTTTATGAAGGGACTGTCTCCGAAGAAATAAATAAACGCACATGTAATTACACTCACACATACACACACCATACACATACATACCCTGACATACATATACATGCACTCACACACCATCTTTCTTTCTGAAGATTTGATAATTGTGTTTATGAAGATATAGCAAGAAAAGGCAGACTAAGAGGAAAAAAAGACTCATTTACCACGATGCACACAGTCCTGGGAACCATGCAGAATAGAAAACTCAAATAAAGGGGTGGGGCGCAGGGGGTGTGTCTCAGCCAGCAGCATTTCCCAATGTGGGTTACATCCCCAGCACCATGCAAACCTGACTTAGTGGTACACACCTGTCATCCCAGCATTTTGGGAAGTGGAGGCCGAAAGATGCAAAGTTCAAGGTCATCCTTGCTCACAGTGAGTCTGAGATCGGTCTGAGCTATATAACTGTATTGTAAAGCAGGGGACAGATTGTTTAAAGCTTAAGCACTCTCTTCGAAGAGAACAGACACGGCTGGGACAAATCTCCTGGGGGTAAGGATGGCTCCAGATGGGCAGTTTTCCCTCTTTGGCTCTAGCTTTATAGTCTTCCCTGACTGAGGAAATTTTAGGAAGTAGACTGGAGACAGCTATGTGTTCTGTGGTCTTGTTTCCCTTGCAGATTTTTGCTTTGTTTTGTTTTTGTATCTTGGGCTGCCCTCAAATTTACAACGTAGCCCAGGATGACCCTGAAGTCCTGCTTCTCCTGTTTCCAGCTCCCAATGGCACCACTGTGTCTGAAGCATACGGAGCAGCTGATGGAACCCAGGGCTTTGCGCTTGCTAGGCGAGCACTCTACCACTGAGCTCTGGTCTCCAGAGCCCCCGGAGAACTTCACAGCTCCACAGACACGATGTCTACCTTCTGCCTTATGACAGTGTGTGTACCTGTTCTCTAGATGGCGGGCTGCACGCGGGTGGTGGAGCCTGGTCCTCCCCGCTTGCTTTGATGAAGTCACTGACTGTGTTAGTTACTATAACCAGAATACCCAAGAACAACTTACAGGGAAGAACCATGTCAGAGGTGTCGTTCTGTGTTAGTTCCTTTTCTCCTGGCTGTGACCAAACACCGCACAAGAAGCACTTTAAAGAAAGGAGTGTTTGGGGCTGGAGAGATGGCTCAGCGGTTAAGAGCGCTGACCGCTCTTCCAAAGGACCCAGGGTCAATTCCCAGAACCCACATGGCAGCTCACAACCAGGGCAAAACCCCAATGCACATTTACAAAAAAATCTAAGAAAGGGGTGGCAGAGAAGGAACGGTTCTGTCATGGTGCAGTGGCGTGGCAGAGCAGAGACAGCGGTCACACTGCAACCACAGGGGAAGGGGAGAAGTGGGGGAGGGGCTGGTGCTCACTCACTTTCTCCTTTTTGTCCCACAGGATGGTGCCACCTGTATCCAGCTTTGGTCTTTCTCTTTACTATTTCTGGAAATACCCTCATAGTCACACTCAAAGGAGTGTTTCCGTGGAGATTCTAAATCCGTTCAAGTTGAGAACCAAGGGACCAGGGAGATGGCTCTGTGTACCCACTTGATGCCAAGCCTGGGTCACCTGGATGAAGGAAAGAACCAACTCCAAGAGTTATCCTGTGACACCTCCCTGCCACACACAATTATTTTTTTAAAATCTATGTAGTATTTAAAGTCAACACTGAAGATGAAGGATCACATAACTGTGGTGGGCAGCACAGCAGAGGGGAGCAGCCCACAGCAGGGGAACAGGGGCAGCCAGAAAGCAGGGGGTGGGGAGAAAGCAAAGGCTCAGGGTGACACAGCGACCCAAGCACAAGCCCCTAGTGAACCTCTTCATCCAGCCAGACTTTCTGAAGTTTCCGTAGTTATCTACCTCGTTTGAACACTTGCCGGGGTAAGACACCTTGGCAAAACGATGGAAGGGAAAAAACATGTTTTGGTTCGCAGTCCCAGGCTTCTGTCCATCAGGTTTGGAATTTATTTGCTTGCTTGCTTGTTTGTTTTTGAGATATGGTCTTATGATCTCCTGGTTGTCCTGGAGCTCACTGCGTAGACCAGGCTGGCCTAAAAATTCACAGAGATCCATCTGCTTCTGCCTGCCTGGTGTTGGGACTAAAGCTGTGTGCCCGTTTTCATACAATCCAAGACTCAAGCCCAAAGAATGGCATCACCATCCTTCAGGGTGGGACCTTCCCACCTCAGTCAGTGGTGTCACGGCCAGCTCAGCCTAATCTAGAGACCCACTCACAGGTGTACCTAGAGGCTTGCCTCCTTGGTGACTTGTTGTCAGTGGAGATTAACCATCACACAGCCTCTCAAAATAGTGCCAGCATTTGGGAACCAAGATGCGGCAGGAGCCTGGGAAGGACACAACACTGCATCTCTCATCTTTTTTTTTTTAAGTTGTTTTTATTGAACTACATCTTTTTCTCCGCTCCCCTCCCCTCCTCTCCCCTCCCCTTCTACCCTCTCCCATGGTCCTCATGCTCCCAATTTACTCAGTCCATCTCTCGTCTTGACTGTGGCTGCAACCTGACCAGAGGCTTCCAGCTCCTGGTGCCTGATTTCCGTGCAATGATGGGGCTGCATCCACACACTGTGTAGGAGACCTTGTCCTGAGGATGATTCTGAAGCAACAGTGATTTAGAGGGACCCTTAGGCGGGTCACCAGGAATGGTGAAGGCACAGTCCAGCCCTGCCATGAGCAGCACTAAAGCTGGGTCCCTGAGGACCACAGGAAGGATGAGTCAGCTCGGAGTAGATACGTTTCTTCTATAAATACTGGTACTAGAGGTGGAGAGGGCTCAGCGGTGGAGAACATGTTCTGTTCTTGCATTGGACCTAAGTTGCATTCCCAGCACCCATGTCAGGCAGTTCAGAACCACTTGAAACCCCAGCTCCAGAGGATCCAACACCCTTTACAGCCTTTGAGGGCAGCTACACTCAAATACACATCCTCACACAGACACACAGACACACACACACACACACACACACACACACACACACACACACACACACACATTGACATAACTGCAAATACAAATCTTTTTTAAAAATCTGTATCTAAACCGGGCGGTTGGTGGAGCATGCCTTTAATCCCAGCACTTGGGAGGCAGAGGCGGGTGGATCTCTGTGAGTTCAAGACCAGCCTGGTTCACAGAGCGAGTTCCAGGACAGGCTCCAAAGCTACAGAGAAACCCTGTCTCGGAAAAAACAAACAAACAAACAAACAAAAATCTGTATCTAGTATGTGGCTCAGTGTTGACCTTAGTGGAAATGTGTCTGTTAACATAAAGACAACAAAACCCTGCTGGCCCAGGGCACTGAGTAGAAAAATGATGTCTACATTCTCTGGACATTGTTTAATGTTCAATGTATTAAAGTAAGTAAGTATGGTTAGTATTGCTGGGTGGTGGTGGCCTGTGCCTTTAATCCTAGCACTCAGGAGGCAGAGGCAGGTGGGTCTCTGTAAATTCAAGGCCAGCGTGGTCTACTGAGCAAGTTCCAAAACAGCCGGGGCTACACAGAGAAACCCTGTTTCAAAAGACCAAAACACAAACAACAACAACAACAAACCTTGTAAGTCTTACAGGCCAATTTTTAAAAACCATTATTTCTGGCATATCTAAAGTCGGTAAGACTATTAAATTATTTCTCTTCAAGAGTTTAACCTGCAGTAATACATGTGCTATAAACACAACACTTGTTACATAACCAAATAAAGGCATGTGCTGACATTAAAACCACAAAGCCAAATCCCAGGTTTAAATCTCAATTACAGAGATGGAGAGATGGCTCAGCTGTGAAGAGCACTGGCTGCTCTTGTGGAGGACCCAAGTTTGATTCCTAACACCCACGGAGTAACTCACAACTGTCTGTAACTCCAGTTCTAGTAGATCTAACCCCATCTTCCAGCCTGAGGGCACCAGGCACAAAAGTGGTACATAGACATACAAGCCGGCCAAACACCCAAACACAGAAAAGTAAAAAAAAAAAAAAAATCTCAATTCCTTAAAAAAAAAAGTTAGGAAGGGGGCTGGGGAAACGGCTCAGCGGTTAACAGCTTCTGCTCTCTCAGACATCCCAAGTTGGGACCCCGGATATGGGTTCCAGCACCTATACCAGGCAGCTAGCTCATCACTGCTGGCTCCAGGGGCGCCTACATACTGGCTAGCAGCAAAGGTGGATAGGCAGATACACACATACACACACTAAATGTGTGTGTGTGTGTGGGGGGGTTATTTTGTTTTTGTTTGAGACACAATCTCACTGTGTAGCCCTGGCTATCCTGGAACTCTCTATGTACACTGGTCTAGCCTTGAACTCACAGAGATCCACCTACCTCTGCCTCCTGAGTGCTGGGATCAAAGGTGTGCATGACCACACTCAGCTATAAGTGTTTTTATTTGTATAAATTTAATATATAAATATATATTTATAATATACAAATATATATTTATAGTATATAAATATAATATATATAATATATATTAATATATATGGGGTTATAGCTCAGTTAATAGACAAGTTGCCTAACATACAAAGGCCCTGGGTTTGACCCCCATCCTTGCATAAGATGGGCACAGAAACACTTGCCTGTGATCTCAGCACTAGGAAGCACAAGGCAGGAAGATCAAAAGTTCAAGGTTATCCTCGGCTACCGGAGAGTTTATCATAGTCTTGGCTACACAGCCAGTTCAAGGCCAGCCTAGACTCGTGAGAATATATCTCAAAATATTTGGAGATGGTGGAGCTAAGGAGGTGGGGCCAAGCTGGAGAAAGTGGGTGACTGCAGGTGTGTCCTCTGGGGCTCTGCATTGCCCTGGTCCCTTCTGTCATCTGTTTCCTATTCACTAGGAAATGAACAGCCTTCTCCCTGAGTTCCACCACCATAATGTTCTGCCAAATACATGGCGCAAATTCTTCACCTGAAGCTGCCCCTGTGTGGGCTGGTTTTGTCAGCATGACACAAAGCTAGATATATCTGGGAAGATGGTTTTGGGTTTTGTTGTTGTTGTTGTTTTAAGACAGGGTTTCTCTGTGTAACCGCTCTGGCTGTCCTGCAACTCGCTTTGTAGACCAGGCTGGCCTCAAACTCACAGAGACCCGCCTGCCTCTGCCTCCTGAGTGCTGGGATTAAAGGCATGCGCCACCACCAACCAGGGGGAAGAGGGACTCTTCATTGAGAGTATGTTTCCATAAGGTTAGCCGGTAGGCAGATCTGAGGGATATTATCTTGATTAATAATTGCTGTGGGAGGGCTGAGCCCACTATAGGCTGGTCTTGTGCCCGTGGTCCTGGGTCATATAAGAGAGCGGCTGAGCAAGTCGTGAAGAGCAAGCTAGGGAGCAGTGTTCCTCCATGACCTCTGCTTCATTCCTGCCTCCAGGTCCCTGCCTCAGGCTCTTGCCCTGACTTCCTTCAGTGATGTGACGAATGTGACCTGAGTTCTAAGATGAAGTAAACCCCATTCTCCCCAAGCTGCTTTCGATCATAGTGGCATTTTATCACAGCAACGGAAATGCTAATTAAGACAACTGGCCAGAGACCATAACCCAAACCCAAACCGACAGACTGAGGAAGATTCACCACACCTGACCCAACTCCCTTTTCTCCAGACCACTTTGACTACCGACCCCATCTCTGAACACTCAGCAGTGTGTGGGAACTTCCCTTTAACCTCAGTTCTCAGGACTGCGCTGACAAGGGACTAAGAGGGGCCAAGACACACAAGTGTATAATGTGCACAGTGGGGAATACAATCACCCGTGAACCCCAGTAAAGCTCGGGGTTCATGTCTTCCTGAATGGGGAAGAGAGAGGGAACAGTGGTGAGTAAATGGACCAAGAATAAAGAACAAAGGGACCCAGGACACGGAAATGAACTTGTAAACGGTTTTCTTGGATGGGTGCGTCCTTGTGTGTGGTGTGGGGGAGAGATAAGTGGGTACCGAGTATCGAGGACCCAGTGATGCTAGGGACAGCTGGCCAGTGTGCACTTTGATATGCTAACAGGCACCTCAGTCAGCCATCTGTCCCAGGTCTCCGAGACATAAGTATGCAAGCACACAGGGTCTGGTGACGCCAGAGGATACCCTCAAGGGTCATCCTCAGGAACGCTGCCCACCTCCTTTGAGACAGGGTCTCTGGCTGATCTGGGCCTCACCCATTTGGCTAGGCTGGCTCATCAGCAAGTCCCATAGTCCCTCCTGTCCCCACCTATCCAGCACAGGGATTGTAAGAATGTGCCACCACACCCCGCTTTTTACACTGATACTGGGAATCCACACTTGGGTCTTCATACTTGTGTACACTTTACCAAGGGAGTCAGCTCCCCAGCACCTATAAACTGTTACCTTTGGCATCCAAATGACAGACATTATCTTTTGACAATTCTGCCTGGGCCCAGCTGCAGACTTAAGGCCTTTCCTATGTCTGTGAGACTTCAGAGGGAGAGGCCTGTGTCTGCTTTGACAGGTGGAGCCTCGAGGCAGAGAAGGGAATTGCAGAGACCTTTCCTCACCTGCCCTGTAGGAGACAAAGGATCAAAAGACAAAGAGCCGGGGAGATAGTTCAGTGCATGACAGCACTTGCTTGGCAAGCATAAAGATCTGAGTTCAAATCCCCATCACCCACATGCCCAAATGAAATAGTCAGGCACGGCCACAGAAACCTGTAACTCCAATGCTAGCGGGCAGAGATAGCATCGCTGGAACTTGCTGCTGACTCTGAATTCGGCAGGAGACCCCATCTAAAGGGAAGAGGGCAAAGAGTGACAGAACAGGGCTCCCGACACCCTCCCCTAGCTCCATGTGCACACGCATGTGAACGTACACGGAACTGGGAGGTTAGAGTGCCATGAATCCTAAGACGATTTCCCCAGCCAGCATGTCAAAGTCCTCCATCTGGGCCATGACCTCCGAGACCCAGTCCTAGCAATTACAGAGCACCAGAGGTACCTGAAGGCCACACCACGGATAAGCACGGTGATGCTTGCCTACGAATCCAGCACTTCAGGGACTGAGGCAGGAGCATGGCAAGTCGGAGACCAACCTAGGTTATACTGTGAGACCCTGTCCCACAGGGAGCTGAGCAGTGAAGTAGCAACAAGCTATCCTGAAGGGAACGTTTCTACAGTTTCCCTTAACAGATGATCATTACCACCTGGGGGAAGGGCAGTGACAGGAAACATAAAAGAGAAATTAGGGGACATGCCAGGCACGCCTTTAATCCCAGCACTTGAGAAGAGGAGGCAGATCTCTGTGGGTTCCAGGCCTGCTTTACATACCAAGTTCCAGGACAGCCAAGATTGCAGACCCTGTCTCAAGAAAAGAAAGAAAAAGAAAAGGAGGAGGGAGGGAGGGAGGGAGGGAGAGAGGGAGGGAGGAAGGAAGGAAAGAAGGAAGGAAAGGGAGGGAGGGATGAAAAAGGAAAGAATGAGGGGAAAACATCTCACAAGGGCCTCTTCCCTCCTAAAACATACATTTGAGGGTCTGAGGAGATGCTTAGCAGAGACGTGTCTGCCTTGCAAACATGAGAATCTGAGGTGGAGCCCCTAAATCCACTGCGGGGGCAAGTACTTGTAATCCCAACACTGGGTAGGCAAGACAGGTGGACCCCTGTGGCACACTGGCAGCCAGCTTACTCTGTTCGGCAAGTTCCAGGTCAGTGAGAGATCCTGCCTCGAGAAGAGACCATTCCTGAGGAACAGGAGCCCAAGTCAGCTTCTGGCTTCCACATGGACAGGCACATACATGCACCTGTACCCCCCCTCCAACACACACACACACAGAGATAAACCATATACTTGATGACAACAGCAGACCCAAGGAGAAGGTATTAGTCACCTTTTGCCATGACAAAATGGCTGAGCAAAGGTTTAGTCTGTGCTGGGCTACTTCACCGCTAAAGGCCTGTGGGGAGTGTGTGGCAAAGCAAAGCTCTCACCTCAGGAACGCCGGGATACCGAGAGATCGGGCAAGGAAGAACAGGGACAAGACAGTCCTGAGGGCTGGAGAGATGGTTTGGTAGCTACAAGTGTTTGCTGCTCTCACGGAGGGATGACGGTTCAGCTCTCAGCACCATTATCAGGCGGCTCCCACCACCCTTAACTGCCGCTTTAAGGGAACTGGCTCTGAAGAGCCCAAGAATAAGAATATAGAAATGTAGACTCCAGAAATAAGAATGCAGAAATAAAGAAATATAAAGTTGTAAGCCTAGGAGAATGAGGGCAGCCTGTCAGCAGCTGTCTCAGCAGCTTAAGGATTAACTGTTAACCATGGGTTACTCTGCTTTACAACCCATAGTTTTATTTGTGAGGCTGAAGTGGCTCGCTGCAAACTTAGGGTCGCTCTGCAAACCTAGGGTCAGCCTTTAGATACCCGCCCCCCCTGCCACTCATGACCAGAAATTGATGTGAGCTGAGTTAACTTTTAAATTATGGGATGTACGTGACTTTTGACTTTTTGGTTTTATATTGTCCCATACCCTTCCCTGCTTTGCAAAACGGGCAGTGTGAGGGGAGGTGCAGAGGCTTGGTAAACACTATCAAGGAATGACAGGAAAAATGATGGGCTAAATACAAACACTAGTTTAACTGAAAAACTCTGTTAATGTGCTGCGGGAGTACCTTCCGCTGCTTCAGCCAATAGTCGCTGAAGCACGAGCCCACAGTGCTGCGGGAGAGCCTTCTGCTCCGTCAGCCAATAGTTGCTGAAATACCAGCCCACTGGGGCGTGGTATATTTCTCTTTAAAAGAAGAGTGGCAAGCCTCGGCTAGGCCTCTTGGTTCCGGTGCTTGGTTCCGGCTCCTGCTCCAGCGACTAGGCTCCCTTCCTGACGGTTTATGGTGTATGTAAGTTTTACCCCCCAAAAAAATACCCCTTTAAAACATAACTGGTGTGGGATTGATTCGCCATTATCTTAAGTGGTGCGGGAGAATTGTCTGTATTCTGTCAATCATGTTTTAAATAAACGCTGATTGGCCAGGCAGGAGGTGTAGGCGGGAAAACCAGACAGGAAGTGGAAATGATGCAAGGAGAGCAGGAGAATTCTGGGGAGGAGGAAGTTGATTACTCCCACTCCTGCCCAGACCACCGAAGCAGCAGGATATAAGCTGCCCCACTGAAAAAGATACTGAGCCACATGGCTAAAATAGAAAAAAATAATGGGTTAATCAAGATATGAGAGTTAGCCAGTAAAAAGCCTGACCTAACAGGCCAATCAGCATTTATAACTTACAGAGATCTCTTGTGTGATTTTACTTTGGGACTAAACAACTGGGTGGGACAGAAAAACACAAACAAGCCATCCCCCCTCATGTTACATTAATGGAAATTGCAAAGAAGGACAATTTTTATCTGAGTTTTACCTTGAGATTGTAAAATTCTTTTGTTATTGCCTAATGCTTGCTGTAAAAGGAGGAGTTCAAAATCTGGCCTTTGACACAGCCTTACAAGTCCATCTCTGGCTATGGTCTAAGCTAGCTGATAAGCTTTTTAGGCCCCATGGAGATTTGTTTTTTTAATTTTTAATTTTTTTCTGGAATAAAGTTTGCTTCTGGTTTATTAGACTTTGGTGGTCTGTCCCCATCTCTGTGTGATCTGTGGACCCAACAACTCTTCTCTGGCCTCCACAGATATGTGCATACACATGGTGCATATAAACTCATGCAAGCACACACACACATATACTGTTGGGGACTGTGGACCCCCTGCCTGCCGGAGTAAACAACTTGTTTTCCTATGCTTGCAGCAGCTGCGGAAGGTACCCATCTCTCTGTCTGTGTGTGTTTCAATCTCCAGGCCCTTGCCAGACTCATGAACCTTACCATAGCGCATAGAGCAGGTGTTGTGTTACAAATGGAGACCACCTCCCCCCAGCGAGATGGGGAACTAGGGATCCCTGAGAGATCACCCATGGGAGTGGTAAGGGTGTACTGAAGATGGGTATGTGTTTCTTCATCCCCAGACTCTTGCCTGATAGTGGTTCCAGGTGCCACAGGAGACATAGCTGAGATCGGGAACCTGAGACACTCTGAGGGACACCCTCCAGAAGACTGGACAGCAGGAAAGTAATAAAGAGGAGGCAAGAGGGTGAATTGAAGGCCTCAGAAAGATGGAATGTGCACAGAGAATCTGGATTATGTATATTGTTATGTTTTCTTTTAATTTTTGACTGGAAAGAGACATTTGATTCTGGGGACTGCTAAGAAAGTTATCTTGATTTCAAAATATGGGTCTAAGGATTTGTTGCTTTGGAAAGGAAGTTCTGCTTTCGTTTCCACAGAAGATGAGAATCTGTGGAATCCTTCCAGGCTAATATAACGGTTTGATGGACCAAGACCCCCCCCCCCATCCCCAGCCAAAGGTTGCTGTGAATGCCCTAAAAAATTACTTTGCCCAACTAACAGCAGAAAGTAGTTTAGAGAAAATGACACCCAAATTCCCTAAATGATGGTTTACTGGAGGCTGTGGGACCACGGGGAATGCCGTAGGTGGTGGTGCTCGGAGCCACAGCAGGAGCGAGGCACATCAACAAGTGCTGGAGCTGAGGCAAACCGGAACTGCCCAGATACCCCTGAAGTCACAGAGGTCAATGTACCTCTGCCTCCCAAGTGTTGGGATTAAAGATGTGTACCACCACACCCACCTACTCTCTTTCTTTTTAACTTTAAGAACTTTAACTTTTATCCTGCATATATTTTTAACACACTGTAAACCGTTTAGAGGTTTTCGTCCTCTTTGAATCTCTCTTTACTGTATATCTCTCTTTTTCTGACCACATGAATCTTTAATGGGTAGGACTAAAGCCGTGGCTTTGACGGTTAGATCCAGCCCATTCCTTAGCTTTCCAGCCTTATGGCAAAGGTACTACTGGAGC